GCCAACAGAAAAAACCTTCGAGATCTCCTTTAATCTCATAAGAAGTTGAATGTGATTTGTGCTGACTGTTTTACTTTTAGTTGAAAAAATTAAACGGTAAAGGTGATTTTTTAAGTCAGCAAGTCTACAGTTTTTCCACGTATGAAAAATTTGCATACTAAAAAAACAAGCAACAGTAGCAATTTTGGTTGGCTGATTCAGCAAACATCAATCAATCAAAAAAGTGGGCAGCAGACATTTCGTAGAAGGTTTGTATCAGGCTCTCTTTTCATTTCGCCTTGCCTGCCGGAATGTTATTTACAAAGCGAAATGAAAATTGAGCCTGATCTCAGGTTAGGAATTTCATCATGTCCTGATGGAGTTTCAATTGTTAATTACCAAGACACAGGATAGGACATTTCTGCAAATGTTTAAAGTTAGAATTCAAGTACTTTGGTGCAAGAAAAACACTGCATTACATAAAAAAGTGCACATACCTGATTGGAAGTTGACGGCCCATACATGACTGTCTTCACTAGATCCATGTCCCCATGATGCTGCCGCAGAAGTAAGTGCATTAAAGCCATCACTCCTGTTTCTGATCCTTTTTCCAGCCTAAGCTTGCTCGCTATCGTTCTTGCTTTGTACAAGTAAACCCAAACCTTTGCCCAAAGCATTTTTCGGCTGCAAGTGTCAATGCATCCGTAATCGGCGATAGGGAGAGTGCTGTTTTGATAGCGCATTGATTTATCGTGGCCATCAAGAGCGTGAACCCAGTTTGGGCCTCGTGATGTGTAGGTGCCTTTGGCCTTTCGTCTTCTTAAATTAAGGAGCCTTTTTCAGCGAGTGCATCTAGATCTACATCGTATATTACTGCATACACAAGTTCGCCGGTAAGCAAGGAGTTTTCCCGGCCCTTCCAATTCTCTTCTTACTGCGTCTTCGACCTCATCGACCTCAACAGTTGGATAGGTGTATGTAACGTGGTGCCATTGAAGAACTCTAGTCTTCTGTCTAGGGCCCTTAAACTCCACATGTATTCACTAAAATCTCTTGACACAAAGTCTAAAAGTTCATTTCGACGAAATTTTTGCTTCACATAACGACTTGAGACCTCTTTTAACCCCTATATTGTTTTCTTGACAATCGCTGTTGTCGCCATCTTGAATAGGATACCCCAAAGGCATTCTGGTCTATAGCAACAATGAATGATATAATCCACATTGAATTGTCCAAGAGAGAATGACAGTTTCTTCTCTTTTTTTTTCACTGAAAAAATATTGCAACATAGAGCTTGACCGCTTTTTTCACTGAAAAAGAAAAAGAATAATCTATGACAACCATACGATAGGCCATGGATAAATTTTTATTTTTTTTTACTTTTCAATTCTATAATTTTTCATTTTTTGAAAAAATATTCGATTAATTTTGTGAAATTATTATTATTTTAGTTTGTACAATACTTTATTTTTTGTTTAAATTTATTGTTAGGAAATGTTAGTAATATTTTAAAAACAAAAACGAAGAAAAAAAACGAAAAGTAAAGAAACATGATAAAGAGTTTGCAATGTGGCAAGGCGACAGTACAGATGTTCTAATAGTGTTGAATGGCTTCTTTTCTACCCACAACGTCAGCAAACACTTTTTCTCGTTTTATTTTTGATAACTCAAAAAAGATGAAAAAAACTTCATGTTTTTGACCAAAATCATGGACTAACACCTTTGGGAAAATGTCAATATTGAGGTTTTCTCAAGGTTCTATTGTCTAGTAAGGCTTGTTTTCTAACGAGAACGTCACCAAATACTTTTTCTCGGTGTATTTTGCATGAGACGAAAAGTTGAAAACATCTCAAATTTTTGACCACACTAATGGACTAACCCCTTTCAATTGGAAAAATGCACATAGGCGTACGGGCCGGGAGGGGCGAGGAAGGCTGCAGCCCCCCACTCCCCCCCACCCCAGATTTTGGGTAACCCAGATTTTTTGGGCAGCAAGAGAAAATTTGGGCAAAGCCATGTTTTAAAGACGTTTCCATGCTTTTTTTAAATTATTATTATTATTTTGCAGACATAAGTATTTTTTATTTTAATCTGGAAAAAAAACCTGAAGTCGGCGCAATAATCCAGTTACATTCTCTCGAGACATTGGTTGCCTAACAAGTGATTAGTTTCTGGTTATTAAGGAAGGGTATCACATGTTGATTTACATATTTATAGTTTTTTTTCATTGTTGAGCACTGTACTGCACTGCACTGACTGGAATGGGCTCTTTCCAGTCGTGAATTGATTAGAATAAACTTCCGCATATCTTTCTAGAATCATCTCCGCTTGTAGAACAGTGTATGGCGGATAGCATCAGCAATGGGTCTGAACTGAATGAAGAAGTGGCTGACTATTTCTCGGTTCGATAACCGCCAAACATCAAGATTTTCCTTTTTTACCATATTTCTAACTATGAAAACTTCATCCCAAAATATCCCAATAACACTCTCACACTTTGCGTTTTAACTTCACGAACATCGAGGCGACTATTTGACGAAAAAGCCTCCGTGAACGATTTTGTAAGAACAGTTCCCAGTGCCGAGAAATAGCTGCAAGTAAAATAGGCAATGGCGTCATTTCGTTGCTGTGACAACTCCGATGTCATTGCATTTCTGATCATGACAAATTTTCGTCTTTATCTAATAAAATTTTCCAAATGTTTGTCTATGGCGACGTAGTTATGCTCAGAATTGGGAGGTATTGACCCTGAAAAACTGTTTCAGTATCGAACCACCTTCATATGCCAGTACGGCCTATGTTGTTGCATAGTATGGCCCTCGTTTCTTTTCGACTGTACGTTTCGTAAAAATTTGGGCAACTTCTGAGAATTTTTTGGGCAAATGGTTTACCGCCCCCCCTGGCAAAAAATTTCCCCTGCGCCTATGAAAATGCAAGCACCCGTGGGGATAGTAAAAAAATTCTTCTTCCCTGCATATAGCTCGTAAGACCTTGTAATTCTTCCGAGAGTGTTCAGGATTATTTCTTTTCCACAAAATGGAAAGGATAATAAACCAAAGCATCCATTACTACTTGAGTTACCCTATCTAAGGAACAAACCAAAGACACAAAGCCAACAAGGTAAAATATGACACCCTCAGCGGTACTTGTCTACCTAGCCCATACATGTATATGGGATTATCCCCACCCCGAAGACTTCACGTGTCACGTGGCAAGCAAACGTGAATTGGGACGACGAATGCCAGGTTATTCATTAATTTTCTGTTGTTAAATGTTGCTTTTCTTATTTAAATATTTTTTAATTCAAATATATGAAATGAACCATATCTTTTTTTGGTGGCATGTCACAGGAAGTTTCATGTCTTTCATAAAAGCGATTCTCGTTGGTCACGTGATTAATTAAGGCAGAAAAATTTATAACGGAAGACATCCATGTTTGAAAAAAATAATAATTAAAGTTCATAACGAAGTGCGGTGGAATTATTACAAATTGCGACAGCTTAGTCTATTTCAAAGTGCGCAGCTTTTTTATTACAAAGTGCGACACTGTTTCAAATGTTACAAATTCCGACAGGTATTACAAAGTGCGATGAATTTATTACAAACTGCGCCAGGTATTACAAAGTGCGATGATTATTACAAATTGCGACAGTACACCCTTACTCGCCGTGAATCATATCAAGAGCAAGATATTAAGTGTTATTGTGACCACTTAAATTCGGTTTTCTAAAATCGGATTTGTCCCATCTACCAAAAATTTAAATCAGGGGCGGATCAGAGAAGGTTTGATGAGGGGAGTCTACATTTTTTCCAAGGACGAAATGTTGTCTGTAGAGGATTTTTCCCATCTTCCCCTGCCTGTCACTGCGTACTCTACCGTAAATCTCACAGGCAAGTTTGAACAAGAATGTGATCAAATAAAGTATTTCATGTTCATGTTGCCCAAGTTTCATTTTAAGCTAGCATGCAAATGTTGTAAGCCACTTCCTGTACCAAGAAATATTTATGATCTGAAGGGATTATTTAAGGGGGTCCCGAACCACCGCATCCGCCACTAATTTGAAGGAAAAAGCCTTTTCCTATTTCAATTAACCTATGGAACTGCTCTAAAGCGTGTGATGTCACATGGAAAGGCTACTCTAAATCAGCAGTCCATTTAATTTCTGATTAGTGTTCTCTTAGCCAACTTGACAGGAATACGCTTGCCGCACGTTGAAAAACAAAACAACAGTTACCGGCAAAAGGTCTAAAAGAACAGGCCCAGCCTGTTGGCAGCCATTTCTTTGTGCTCTGGCAGAAGGTCAGAAGGCACTTGGCAAAGGTTGGATTGAAAACCAGGAAAGGCTGTGTTGACACAGTAAAGGTTGACGTGGCAATAAACTGAAGACACATCAGAATCCATGTTTTATCACTCCATGCGTTTTATTAATCCAGTCCATGTTTTACCAATCCAGTCCAGTCCATGTTTCATCACATGCCTACTCTCTAGGATTGTTCGCACAATATTCAATCATGCCTCAAGGCAAATAGTTGCCGGTAAATACGCACCCTTTCTGACTCTGTCTGGGGGTCCTGCTATTGTTATTAGGCTTATTTAGCGACAGGGCGGGAACGGCAGTGGACGACGGGAAAGCGCGCGGAAAGGACTAAACACGACTTCCGGTGCCCAACTTGCCGCTTTGCCATTGGTCAAGCCAGTTGTTTGATCTGCGCGCGCCGTCGACAGCTGTCGTTCCCATTCTGTTCCTAAATCAGCCTAATTGTGCGGTCAATCTTTATACTTTCACAATTCGTCCTTAGCGAGAAATTTTTTTGTTAAACAGTGACCACATCTTACATATCTCCTGACTTCTCTCTAAAAACCTACTTCAGCGCATGATCAGGCAATACCACTATTAATGCTTTTGCCTCAAGCAGCTCCTAAGTGTAAAGTTGAGTAGGTTCTTTTTCGTGTCCATATACAATTAAATTCAAATTCTTTCTGCTCCTTTGTTATCGGGCAAGGTGATATTGGCAACTGATTTATTGCGATATATTATTGAGATCGGTCGGGTAGATGAACGAGAGTCAAGCTGCGTCTTATGGCCTAATAAAAATGTTTTCAAAGCTTTCTGGAAGTCTCTTTTGAATAAAATGTAAAGAACAGGATTAGCGATTGACGTCAGATATCTAATGATGAGAAACGCATGCGAACACTGCATAAGAGCCGTTCTCATTTCTTCACTGATAGAAAACCAGAGACTGTAAATAATACTGAGTGTGTACCAAGGAAACCAACAGACGAGATTGACCAACGCCATCACAGCAAAAATTATTAGACATCTTCTCATATTGTGTACGTTCCCGCCATGAATGAACGAGTTTCTGTGGTCGGCTTTTCCATCAGCTATAGCCAGGTTATATACCCCTTGATTTATCTTTCTAAAAATAGCAACTTGTAAATATGTAATACTGATATAAGGGAAAAGAAGCACTGAAATGATGCAGACAACTGTGTAACCAGCCTGAATTTTTAAGGTCGTGCTGTCTAAAATGGCGCCGCCAGAGGAGAGGAATTCCCACCACCACGTGAGAGGTAAGAAAGCGATCAAAATACCAACCATCCATGTACCAAGAATTATCTTCAAAGTTGATTTTTTTGTTACTTGGCGATGGCGAAAAGGTCGAGTAATCGCATAGTATCTGTCTAAAGTTATCGTTAAGATGTGATAAACGACTAAAACAAGAACCATGTTATGTAAAACAGCCACGAAAAATCCCAAAGATATCTTTCCCGGTGAAGAAAATGTGTGTATCAAAAAAATGGGAATGTTGAGTACTCCGTTCATAAGATCACAAACTGCAAGACTTAGAAGCAAGTGATTTGTTGGTTGTTTCCTGAGGCGTTTTTCCTTAATGAATAAGTAAAACACGACACTGTTCACTAACGTAATGAGCACGGCGAGCGGTAGAACTTCAGCAATTATACGGTGATCTGAAGTGGAGTTGGTAGAGATAACGCTGGTCGAATTGTCGTCTGCCATGTTCAGTAGCTTGGTGTATAAGTATCTTGCATATGGAGGAGTCGAATTCTAATCGATCTGAAATCAGCCAGGTCGTGTCCCAGTCGTGCTTCTGTTGTTACAACACTTAAAAAACGCAAACTTTTCTTCCTCTCATAGACGATGTCAACAACTGCAGTGTCAACAAATATAATTGTAATTTGAAAAGGTCATTATATCTTTTAAAATCTCGTTAATAAGTAAAAGCATTGAAAAATTTATCATCTCACAGTGTAGCTTAAACCTCGGGAAGGGGGTTGGGGTGGGGGGTTTGCGGCATCTCCTTGAACAGTTTCCCTATATTGTTTTCTAACATAAAAATTCATACCCTTAATCAGACCAGGATGAATAGACAAGGATTCTCTCACCTCAAATCAAGCGAAAACTACGTCGCCTTAAAACAGCGTGATCGACGTAGCTCTATTGCAATTGTTATTGAACTCAATCGTTATTTGATTTCAACATCCTCGAGTGTTTGTCGCACTTTAAGCCGCTCATTAGCTTATATTGTAAATTGGATTATTTTTAATACTGGCAAAAGACGTAACATGCTAAGCATATTTGAAGTCCCTTGAGTGGTTACGTCCTTTATACCAATATGTTAGGCCACTTTGATCAGACTTGGGCCATAGATTTTTGATATTGTTGTTATGATTTGGGGTGGGTATCACACTCTTTGGTATTAGAACTTACAGCTCATAGAAGACGTAAATTGTTATTATTATTGTTATTGTTATTCATTTCTTGACTGAGGCCTTCTTCTCAAACGTGGATGCAAGCTAAAACACATTCTGGGAAGCCTTGATCATGTATCGGATCACACACTACAAAGGTCACCAAAGAAAGTTCGTTAACAACAGCGTTATCTTCTCTCAAAATGACACAGCAAAGACCTTGATCCTGTAAACGCTATGCTAGCCTATGTCGAGGGAAAATTTTAAAGGTTGGTTCTGTCAAGTTATTGGTCGAAAACAAAATAAATGCGTAGAAAATGCGTAGAATTCATCAATGCCCTTGGTTGCCTTGCTTAATCTGTTCCCCTGCTGTTGGGTGGGATACTAGTCCATCGGGATACTTGTCCACCGTAGGGGTATACATTTGGGGGAAGAAAGAAATAGTAATTGTAAAGAAAAGAAGAAATAGTTTCTGGTCTAAGGAAACAAAACGACAGAAATTTTTGAATTCAGGTGCGAGCTCCAAAATAAAGATATAAAGAATGCTATGTCATCTGACATTAAAGTAAACTCATGGCAATTAATAATGGATTATCTCCCGGCTTGGAATCCTCAGAAAAAAACCGACAACGTGGGAGTTGAACTTGTTTTTGTTTTACTCCGGAAAGCTTTGTAATCGTGGTTACCGAGAGAAAAAAAAAACCATGGCCGGGAAGAGCTCCTTAATTATTGGAGAGGGTTACTGAAAAGAGTACCTCGATAATACTTGAAGCACTAGCTTTGCAACATTGAATATTTTTGCTCACTCGCATCAACCGTGACATTTAAAATCAAGTCTAAGAGGTGATTATAATTGAAATGCATTAGCCCAAAATAAGAAACGTCTATAATTTTTCTTTTATTTTATTCCGCGTAGTTCCTAACCTCGTAAAGAGTTTTGAGAGGTTGCAATAACAACCTCGCTCCAAGTGATTATTGGGGCAAATGACGTAGTCCTGGACCAATCAGAGCGCGCGAATCTCCAAATCACCTGAGTAATTATACTAAATAATGACGTTTTCTGGTGATATATTTTTACAAATGTGCTTAAAAAGAAATCCGCCAAAAAATGTGGGCACTTTTAGAGTATTAAACTTAATGTTTTTATTATTATTATTATTCTCTCGTTTCCTTCGTTGTCGTCATCGTCGTCATGGCTGCTCGAGCTCGCTAGTAGCATTCAGACACGCAAAAAAAAATTCTGTATTTGTGACGATTTCGTTGAGTTGATGTAAAACACGCGACGAAAATGACTTCCACGTGGACAAAGGTTGTCACTTGAAAATCACAAGCCATAAACGATGACCCGATGGTTTTCTGGGAATATTTACTAAGTAATGGTACTCCACTAGACATGACTTTGTTGTCATAACACAGTTTCATACTCAAGCTCCTCTGTACGGTCTAAATAAGCGTCTAGCTTACAAATTAAGGTTTTTGTTTGATTTATATGTTTAAAAGTATAGTTAAAAACAGTCGGGAGCTCTTTCTTAAGAACAAGCTTTTTAAAGGCATCAAGAAAATCTCTTTTGAAAAACGTGTACAGCACCGGATTTGCGGCTGATGTTACAAACCTAAAAATGGCAAATACTTTGGACAAATAGTCCAAAACGGCGAAGGTTTCATCACTGAGAGGAAACCAAAACGAAAACCAAAGAGATAAAACAAACCAGGGCAGCCAACAGGCTGCATACATAAATGCCATCAAGGCAAAAACTATGAGGCACTTTTTTTCCTGTCTAACATTTCTCTGGTTGGTTCCTCCTCTTACAGGCAAAGCGCAACTGCCGCGTTTAGCTATGACCCTGAACATGGTAAATTGGGATACCATGATTAAGATGCAGGGAACCAAGAATACAAAAGTCAAACAAAATGTGATGTAACCAAATTGAATCTTCTTGTAACGATCTGTTAGCTTCTTCGAAAACCAAGTGTACGGCATGGAAGCAATGACTGCTGAAACAAACCAAACCGCCAGCGCAACTTTGAACATGGATTTCTTGGTCAACCGGCGATGAGTAAAAGGTTTCACGATTAAGAAATACCGTTCAAGCGTGATGGCGAGGATATGATATGAAGCTGAAATAACCAGTACATTGTTGAAAATAAGGACGAAAAAGCCGAAGTTGACAGAAGCTGGAGGCTTCATTACCCGCATCACCAAAGTTAGGAACAAAGGGATGGCTACGAAGCCGGTCATGAAGTCGCACAAGCTCAAACTTAGGAGAAGGCAGTTGGTTGGAGTATGAAGACTTTTACATTTGGCAAATAAGTAAAAAACAAGGCTGTTCACCAGAACAATGACAATAGCTATTGGCAGCACCTCACAGATGACTTGGTAATCTGGTTGCATTCTCTAGGAGGACTGCCCTTCAGGTACCGTCTACGATGATGAGCTTCTCGTTTAAAGTTACTCCAATTAAGTGACTAATTGACAGCTGCTGCCTTTGGGGTTAGCGAGTCTTCATCAAAAAGCCGAGTATATGATGAAAATCAAATCCGTTGCCGTTTGTTATACAGCAGTTTCCAAATCTTTCTTTGCGATGATGTTGTTCAGCTCTAAGAAAAAAGTCAGCGACTTAAATAAATGTCTCAAAAAGAAAGGCGAAAGCTCAAAGGATGGACTGTTGTCTTATGACGCTGGAAATGTAACAGGAAAGCCAGTCGTTATTAAGTCATATTCAGTTCGATTTATATTAATGAAAAACAAGTTTTCCCTCTCAGTAACACTTTTAGTGGCATTCATGGCGTTTGTAAAGAATACAAACAAGTTTATCACGAGGACGCCATTGACTCATTAAGACAAAAGAAAGGCCTCTTTCTTAGAATTACCAGCTGTTGTCCTCATGAATGTTTGTTTTATCGTACCAGGGACCACGTTCGAACGGCTAACGGCACTCTGCAGAACCATTATTTTTTCTGGTGCAAATAAAAAATTGGATGAGGTTTCTCCGGGATAATCTAGGTCGGAGAAATTATTATCAGCCGAGGCCGAACCCAGTTTCATTATTTTTCAAAAAGAAAACACATTGCCGTGGAAAGTATTGCGTGCAGAACCTATAGAATAAGTTAGTCTCCTACCGGATAACCGATAGCAGTTATCTGCTAGCAGATAATCTATAGGTTGCACTGATTTCCAAAATTATTTGTAGCCTCTTGGCCAATTAAAATACAGATAGTGAGCACAATGTATAAGAGAAAGGATAATCAAAAGCAAAATATGCTGTATAGGATGCAAATTTAATATTCAAAACCCTTTGAGGGTTTTAATGATTATGAGATAGATTTAATTAAAATGCGAAACTTGACGCAACGCAAGCATCTAGCTAAAGCGAGGGAGGGGGGGAGTGTGCCCTCTAAACAATGTCTTTTTTCCGCAATTTGACACGTTATTTTGAATCAAGTGAGTGTTCATAGCGGTACCTTGTTTATCCTCGTGATTTAAGTTTGAATAATGGAAGCTTAACAAACAACCGATCACAAAGCGATAGTTGGCCTCCTTCAATAAGAGATTCTAACTGTCTCTTGAATTATAATTAATCTAACTGGAAAAAAAGAGATGTTGTACATTGCTTCTCTTTTCTGGAAAACAAACTACCGCGAGTAAGGAGGTATCTTTTAAAATGACATAATATTTTATTCAACAAATCATTCTTGATTCTTACAAGACTTAGTAGCCGAGCCTGCAGAAATCCCCATAACACGCAAACGTCCTTATAATTTACAAATTTATTTTACATTTTTTCTTTCGTTAAGTCCTGGATTAAAAAACGACGATAGTTTTCTTACTTAATTTTCACATCAGGCAACTTAACAATGCCGTCCCTTTGGTGTCTGAGTTCTTAGATCTTATTATTTAAGTTAAAGAAGAATACCAGGCTGATTTACAATCACTCCGTTAAGGGAATATGATATTAAAGGTACCATTCTGTTACTTAATATATCAATTAAGGCATCGATAGACGACTGATTAACTGCTGTTAATATTTACAAAACCTCACAACACTGACTCACAATTTTCTGAAGAAGCATCTGGTTTGCGAATTAGAGTTCGCTTTTGAGTTGTTACTGTAGAGTTCTGAACAGCTGGCTTTTTGTTAAGAACAAGCGTTTTGAAAGCATCAAGGAAATCTCTTTTGAAAAACGTGTACAGGACTGGATTTACAACTGAAGTTACAAAACGAAAAATGCCGAATACTTTGGATAAATCATCCAAAATGGCGTCGGTTTCTTGGCTTGTTGGAAACCAAAGGGAAAAGCAAAGTGATAGAACAAACCACGGCAGCCAACAGGCTAAATATATAAACGCCATCAAGGCAAAAATAATCAGACATTTTTTATCTTGTCTAGCTCTTTGTTGAGAGGTTCCTCTCCTAGTCAAGGCGCACCTACCACGTTCTGCTATGATCTTGAACATGCGCACTTGAGACACTACGATTAAGATGCAGGGAACCAAGAATACAAAAGTCAAACAAAATGTTATATAACCAAACTGAATCTTCTGGTAACTGATTGGATCTGTAAACTTCTTCCAGAACCAAGCATATGGCACATAACCAATGACCACTGAAGTTAACCAAACGACCAGCACAATTTTCATCATGGATTTCTTGGTCAGCTGACGATGGACGAACGGTTTCATGATTGCGAAATATCGCTCAAGCGTGATGAGCAGAATATGGTAAGCAGCGGAAATAGCCAATGTATTGTTGAAAGTGACAAGAAAAAAACCAAACTGGACTAAAGCTGCTTGGTTAATGTCTAGCACGCCTATCACCATAATTATGAATAAGGGGATGGCCATAAACCCGGTTATGAAGTCGCACAAACTCAAGCTCAGAAGAAGACAGTTGGTTGGAGTACGAAGACTTTTACGTTTGGCAAACAAGTAAAAAACAAGGCTGTTTGTCAAAACAATAACAATAGCTATAGGCAGCACCTCACTGATGAGCTGGTAATTTACTTTCCTTCCTTGTGGTAATTCCTCACCGGATAACGTTCCATTTGACCGATCTGATGATGACCTGTTCGTTATGAAGTAAGTGTTATTCTGCATCTTCAGTATCCGGCAGTAAACGGCCAAAAGATCATCGGATACAACCCAATGTTTACTCAACCTAATGCTCCTCCCACTGACTTGAAGGGGTTTTCGATGCTCCTAAAAAGATAATTAAAGAAAAATGTTTAAGTTTGTTGTTAGGTTTAGACGCTTCATGTTATATACCATACCTAGCCTAGGCAACGGACATCTTTGAACGCGCTTCGACGAGGCTGCTCTTTTTCGATGGACATCTTTGAATGCGTTTTGAGGCGAGACTGACAGTTTATGGCCACATTTGACTACGCTTGTTATGTGCTTTGAAGCGACCCCTACGATCAACGGAAATCTTTGACAACGGTGCACTTTGGGGTGACAAAAAGAAACCAATCAAGACTGGGAATTTTTAATTTTTCGATTTTTGAATTTGAAAAATGAACTGATTGAAATTCAATTTTCCTGTTTTTCGAATTATAAATTAAAACTGCCGATTTTCATGTTTGATTTTACTGAAAACTAAATGGACGGAAGGTATAAGGGTTCGTGTGGTTTTCGTCCATTTTATTTTTATTCCAAATTGAAAATTGAAATTCAAAAATTCACAATCGTGCGTTTCAATGTTTGATTCCTCAAAAATTGAAAATCAAAAATTTACAATCTCAATTTTCAATGTTTTAAGAAATCAAAAATTGAAAATTGAAAATGATCAGTTGGTGGTTTTTATTTCTTGTATTTAGGGAAAAGGAAAACTAAACGATAATCTTCAATTTTGAGACTTTTGCTCTGTACCGAAGTTAAAATTGTATTTTCAATTTCCTATTCCATAGATTCCAGCTTATTAAAAATTCAAACTTGACAAAGCTATTCATGTGTAACGAAACTGCGGAAACAGTATCCATGATGATGAAATCCGAAATGAAAATCGTTTTTTGATTTTTGTATTCGATAAAAACAAAAATTGAAAAAAGACCAAATATAACTGTGACGGGAGGGGAGGGTAAAAGCGGAAGTGGCGGGACTGCAAACAAGATGGCGGTCGTCTTCTGGTGAAGGAGTCTTGTCGAGCCGTCTCTGGGGGAAATGCTACGCCAATAGCAATCCAAAGCTTGCCTGTATCATGGCGGAGACGTTTTCAAAGAAATAATATGAATGTTTTTTCACTGATAAGTATGCCTTTGTTGTAACCTTGCAGCATTATACGTACGCAACGCAGCCAGGTAGAGCGTTTCAGATCGGCTGCGAACTGTGGACTGCGGCCGGACTGCGGACTGCGGACTGCGGACTGCGGACCACGGACTGCGGACTACGGACCACGGACTACGGATTGCGGACTGCAGACTGCGGACTGGGTATGTATAAAATACGGACCAGGTATAAAATGCGAACTACGTGCTATGTTTTTAAACTGAGAATATTGTCACTCGACCCTAACCATGTATAACTCCTTTAATGTTGTTGTTAAAGTGAAGGAATTTTGGCTCTAACAAGAATCTTTTAAAGTGCTGTTGTGATGACAGTTTGTCAGTGTAAATTTTATTGTTGTGTGGAAAGAGTTCGCGAAATCAATAAAGTTGTTGATTTCGGTCTCAGGAAGAGTCCACACTCAGAATATAACATCAATAAATTAAATTTCTTCCAACCGGAGAAATGGCTGTAAGGGCTCGCATGTAGTAGTTGTTTCTCAACGTGAGCCATGAAAATGACCGAGAAAGCAACCGGGCACCATTTTGGTGGCCATTGTAATGCCGTGAGTCTGTACGTAGTGTTTGTCGGTGAATTTGAATTGATTGATTGATTGATTTGAATTAGTTTTTTGTTAAGATAACCCGCATTAAGTCTCCCAAATATGAAGTAAGGATAGGTAACTTTGACTGATAATGTTCTTCGTAATGGTGAAAGACGATGTCGATTCCCTATTCCTGGGAAATGCTAGTACAGAGAGAACACACGTTTAACGTAGCTTAAATTGCTTCATCTGGAAGAGGCGTGTTTTCAAAGATATCACTTTTGAGTGCAGTGTCCTCGATGTAAGACTCTTGTTTTGTGCGACTGGCCTGGTAAAAGCGAGTCCACAAAACTAGAAATGCGTTCTTTGGGACCACCGCTACAAGAGACGATTGGTCTGCCGGCAGGAAAAGTTTTATATATTTTGGTCAGCGTGTAAAACGCTGATATTCTTGGTGATTTTGGCCAAAACTGAGCCACTTGTAAGTCATTTGAGCAATATGCCTGTTTGTGAGCAGAGCGTTTATAGTTGATATCACTTTTGTGGCTGTTTCGTATACAATCGGTTCATCTTAGATTTCCAAAACCAGTCCTGCTATTAAATATTATTTAAAAAGTTCTTATCAAGACTCTGCGGCTACCATTGATTGTTAAAACCTAAATCCCTTCACTTTGACAACAACAAAGGAGTTATACACGGTTAGGGTCTAGTGACAAAAGTTAGTCTCCATATATTAATCATTCAAATATTTTCCCTATTCTGATTGGCTAAAGGCACATGCATAATTCACCATAACCAGCTACTGATGACCAAATTTGGAAGCATTTTGTGAACCGATGACGTCAAAAGTGCAGCTTTCTTGCAGGATGCACCGTTAACCGAGAAGACCTGGGGACGAGGGTGAGGTTGTGAAAACAAAAATGGCGGACATTTCACTCGTTTCAAGAGTAAGAACTAGGCGAAATAATAGCTAAAAACATGGCAAGAACAGCAAGAAGACAACTCGAAGGGCGACATCTGATATTTGGAGAATATTTGCGGAGTTGAACAACCCTAAACGTGCACTATCCATCTCCATAATTCTTCATAAGATACTCAGCCTCATTCATTAATTGTTAATTATGCTTTGACGATAGTTCTGAATTATTTTCTCCAATTCTTTAATGAACCGATGATGCTTGTGACTTTGCTATGAAAATCGGTGGACAACTGAAATCAATAAATCGGATAATGTTTACTTAACTTATGAGGAAAGCAACTCAAGTGTAGCGCTATTAATTACTTCCACTTCACAAAGAAAAGTAACCCGATTAAATAGCCAGTCTCAAGCAGTTCGGACCTTGTGACCTTATAAGCGGAATATCTACGGTAATCAACTTTTTTTTTCTGTAGCACTATACTAAATAAAAATTAGCTTTCTATAACAGAGATTTGGGCGGGAATACTTCAGGGTTCTTAGTCGCTGCGGTTATACTACCGCCCACAAAGGATTGTTGAGCCCCTATATATGTATATTATTAGGGAATACGAGCTAGCGTGGACGCACAGTCGGGCGAACTTAACAGAAACTTTCCGAAAAAAGGCTCGAACGTGCTTCATTCCAGCTACTGCACCGTTCATTCAGTCTTAAGATTTAAAAAAAAAGTCGACAATGAAGTGCGTAATAAATGATCATACCATTAAGAAATCAGTCGCTTTCACCACCCAAATGAGAAATTTAAACGGTTTAATGGTGGACTTGTTATTCTAAAAGAAAGGTCATTCGGGCCTGAGGTAAAAACAAATGTTATTCAGACGATCTCATTGAATAATTTATCAAAGTAACAATTTCTTTAAATTAAAAAGTGTCATTTCACAAAGCCGTATAAGACATTTTAATGAATCAAGCGGCTACGTTTTACCCGTATTTGAATTATCGAGAATGTCTCGGGGTTTTTCCAGCTTATAAAACTTCCTTCCGTCCTTGTTGACTCTAGTTTCTAGTCTCATTTACAAAAAAGACCCTTTGAGGCATTCGATTTCAAGCTGTGCATGACCATACGATTCCCCGCCAAATACATTATTATAGGAAATTAACGCGAATCGTTAAAATTCGCGTTAATTTAAGTCGCGTTAATTTCGTTGAGCGTTAATTTCCGCGACGTTAATTAAGTGCGGCGTTAATTTCCGCGCTCTTAGTTTCCTGTATTTTAACCCCAATTTTGGAACCTGTCCAGACATTCTTGACACCTAAAAAACATTTTCTTTCTTTCCATTTACCCTTTATTTTTCATCTTTCACAAAAGCTAAGGCGAAGGTTTACAATATTTCGAGTTCACCTTCATCGTTGTCGCTGTCAGAAGTGATATCAGCTCAGTTTTGAATTTTTTTGCATCCAGTGTTGAAATAAATTTGTTCTAGTTGTCACCACCAACTGTCTTAATCGTGTTAATTTCCTTTATTATGAAATTCTACCTCCTCTTTCGCGTTAATTTGCTTTATTCGAAAGTCGTTTTCCATTAAATTCGCGTTAATTTCCAATACCTTAATTTCATGGAGCGTTAATTTCCTATAATAAGGTACTGCGATATTTGCACACATGCAGGTCATCATTTGTAAAATTTCACATTGGTGTACATGTTGAGGGCAGGGGGTCGATGGGTCAAGACTTATCGCCATGATAGTTTATAAACCATGCCTAGGTTGCTCAAAATCTGATTCCCTATTCACTAAAAAAAATCACCACAATGGAAGAAGCACTTGAAAAAATGATCGATCTAAAGTCTGATCTGGCCGCCCAATGCATCAGACGCCTGTAGGTTTTGTTTTTCATGGGTTCGTTTCCTGACGGCAACACACCATATATTTCTTAGCCTCTAACATGTGACAAGAATGATATTTGTAACCAATTATTTATTATCACCGAGCTTAAAATTTGCCATCTTAGTATTTATCAATCCCTCATTAGTAGTGAAATTTCTAAAAATACAAATCTTCACCACGTTTTTGAGGATAAACGCCAAGCTTCCCCTGGCGATTGTAAAATATATCAAAAATACAGAACATAGGAGGTTTATTGTGTTTCAAAACTAGTACGTTGTCGGAGTTGGTTCTCTTACTGAGGCTAAATATACTCCACGAAAGTCGTCTACAAGTAAATGATAAAGGAATTAACAATAAAAAAATACTTTTATAAAAAATACAAAAAAGCATGCATTAAATACCTTACTAACGAATAGGACAATAGTAAGTATAGTTATAAAGGCTTCCAGTTTCTTGAAAGTTTCAAATTCTCTAAGAAATTCTATTTCAATTGTATTCTGTTTGGATTATAATTTGCCCTACCATAGGAAATAAACAGCCTCTTCATTCCCATCCAATGTTCACCAAACCTTAACTGTATTAAAGGCTAAACTCTCCTCTTCGAATTTTCTTCCACTCAGAAAGGAAAATAACGTTTGCGCACTATTGTCTCAGTGCTCATCGCGCAGTGGCGCCTTCATTGATATTCGTATTAGTTTCAGAACAATACACAGATTGCCAAATAACTGCAATAAACCGTTACGAATAACCAGGTGGTTTTCAGTTCTAGATCAGTGATTAAAAAATCTAAAAGGAAACAGAAAAAAACGATCCCTCGAGTGCAAACAAATCATTAGCAATATAACAAGAAAAGTTAACTATAACGACAATATCATTGTCCAATACAATGCCCTCTTTTCTGATAAAAGAAGAAAAAAAGAGCTGGATGGATATTAAAAGCGAGTTATTACAACTTTACGTAGATGTTACTTACTCATGCGCGCTGTGGTGATTATCGTAGGTCCTTTGAAATCCTAATCAGTTCGTGTTTTTTCACTCCGGTTCTGTAAATAACGAACGCAACGTAAATTTGATGCAGTAGTACACGAGTCATTAGGACCAAGAGGACATTCATACTACCCACATACCATACAACACCTATCACGGTTACTTAGTACTGAGCCTTACAAACACAAAGGAAACATTTAAAACCCTTCACTTTATATTCAAATTTTAGCTAATTAAATAGGATCCCCGAAGCCCTGGGACCTACTTTCCTTGTTTCTCATTGGCCAGAAAATATTTTCTAGATTAAAAGAATAAAAAAATGGGAATTTCGCTTCAGGAACTTTCTAGGGACTGGGTTGGGTACAATGCTGCTTTCCTTCTTTTTTCAGTTTTGTTGTAAACGTTGCCTGTTAACCTCAGCATGTAAATATTCCGTCCCAACTTAAATATCCCTAGTGGGAATCCGAGATTTATTTAGATTTCTAATATGTCTTAAGTCGATCTTCTTCAATAAATTTCAATGTTTTAAAAAGAAAATTTACATAATACACAGCAACCAGTTAATTTCATGGCAGGTTTCAAAAATCGAAGCAGTTAACAGAAGTCATCAATGAGCATATCTAATTCCTTGTTGGACGTTTAAGGTTAAACAGGGATGTAAAAAAGCTTGGTGACTCATGACCAAGCCGTCACTTCGGAGAAATAAAAGGACAATTTTTAGAATCATTCCAGGCCTCGTCTGCACTTGAAGTTGGTATACCGTAGTATCACGCCCTATGTTCTTCATATCCGCTCTAAGCTACTTCAGTCTGAAATAGCGTCTTGAAAGGTTACCGACATGAAATAAAGTCAGCAGTAAACTGAACATTTTTCGCCATAAATAGGATCATAGGTTTTTTTAATAAGTCAAACAATCATTATCATTGCATGCTTTCCACAGCATCTCATGTATCTGCGGAAACCAAGAGAAGTTAAGTTGGACTGAAGGTCACCCGGCCCCAAAGAGGCAATGAAGAATTTCTACGAGAGAGTTCACTTATATCCTTTTTTTGCCTTGCAAATAAAACGTGGCACTGCTTAAGGTCGCGTTAATCAACCACACCGCCAGTTTTGGCCTTTAACTAAAAAATAGAAAGATGGACACTAAGAGGCGACGGATGGAGTTGCTGGACAAAAGATACGAGGATTTTCGGTTATTTAAATTGGAAAGGGAAAAGGTTACCACCAACTGAATTTCCAGTCTGTCTGGGAACATTTTTAAAATGGAACTAGCTAGCTTAAAAATAGAGCCGTTTCGGTTAGTAAACTATAGCACTAGGAAAAAAAATTAGTTATACGGTCCACTTTATAGTCGATTGCGGCTAAAGACAGAGGGTAAAAAAAGAAAATAAACCATAAGGGTAGTATTACGAGAAAGCGAATTTTTACTTAACAGAAAGAAAATAAGATTACAAATAGCCAAGCAGTGTATTCTACTGAACTCCTTGACTATTTGCAAAATGTCCAAAGGGTCTTTCTTGTCTAAAAATCTGAAAAATCATAGCATTTTGAATTAACTGAAAGCGTACTGCACTTAAATGCTTTTATAAATATCATCTATGCCCTTGAAAAAGCGATGAGTCAAAGAATAACTGACATGGAGATGTATTCTCTCTTAGAAACAGTCTTTGATTTTTTTTTTTGTTGTAGGGATACATTAGGACAAGGGACTTTCATTTAATTATTTCATATTCCTCGAAAATATACTTAGTATTCGTCTTGCTTCGACAAGAGTTATAGCTTATAGATTTGTAAGATGAGTCACATGCCTTCCCTAAAACTATACTGGAAGGTTCTAAGAAAAAGATATTTGTGACAGGATAATACATCGTTTTTTCAATGTTTCGTTTGAAGTTAGGCACAACCTGGCAGATAAATAATTATTCTTAAGTTTAATTGATGTATTTCAAGTCCCTCTTGTAATCCAAGGCCAATTATAGGTTGCATTACACATGTAATTCAAGAGCTCATACAGTTCGAACAGCTGGTTTATTGTCGACAACCTGCTTAGAATTTGAACTTGGATCGCATTTCAAACTACTCTCGTGATAAGTCACCGTTAAACCTTTTTAAAACTCCCAAAAGTAGCCAACATCAAAATTCTACAAATTCTCACAAGTTTTGTTTGCATATTAAATAGCACCACGTGAAAGTAATGCCAGAAAGGTTTTATTTGAATAGTCACATCATAGGATTTCGCCAACAGTTAGAACTTTATCAGCTTTACAAGACCCCATCATGTGCTCCGCGAATACAAGGGTTGAATTGGTTAAAAAAATTAATGGTAGTCAAAAAAAATATATGACTATCTTTCTATCTCTTATTTCCACCATACAGTTTAGTAGCATATTTATCTCAGGTTTCAGATTTAGGGGAAAATTCATCGTGTATATCCTCGACTGATTCTGAGGCATGAAGCTTCACCCTTGAGTTTGTATCACGTGACCGATCGCTGAGAACTAGTAACCTAAATATGGATCCGGCATTTTTGTCCCCAAACTGATATCACGGAATTGATGCCATGCACATGATCTGTCGTTGCTTTAGCCGATTTCATGAGATTTCGCCCTCATAGGTTTAAAATGACCTGAACTGTCGCAACGCTTTGCCTAATGTGTATCGAGCGTTATGTGTTGGACAATAGACGATGTCAATAAAAGATGCTCCTAGAAAATAAAAATTGATGTAATAATTGAAATTATAGCCGGCCAGCTTGGTTATAAACCATGAATTTACATGAAACTCAGAATCCACGGCAAACAGCAACTGATTCTCCATTTCAACAGTAAGATCCTATTTTCAAAGTTAATTCTACATATATTACTAAAACCTTTTGAAGTTAAATTACTTGTATTACTTTAAGCGATTTAATTTACAAAATATTAACATTAATAGAGATAAATCGGGGTTTTTTTTTGCTTAAATAATGTATTTTTTATCTTTATGGAGGGAAATATTGAATCGTTTAATCTTAATTTTGCTGCCTGAGCGATAAATTCAAGTCAGCCGTTCTAGATGATTTTTGGCTGGGATACTATACAAAAAAATGTCTAAAAAATGGCTGTGTCACAAATTATGATAACTATTGTAACATACCTCTACCCAACACTATTTTGCATTGTTCATCTTTACTTACGGTCTATTCGCTTTATAGAGTGATCCAATGCCGGGACGTGTGTGCTTCAGTTATAGTTAATCTAGTGATCTTCAGGCATGCTATGAAATTAATTTAAGACTTTGATCTTATTAAATCGTCCATATGTCAGCCTCATGGGGGTAAATTAATCATAACTGAAGCGTCAAATCAGCTTTAGTCCAGTAACATTTATAGCTGTTCGGGTTTATAAATCAATTCTCTGTGCAAGGGTTCAGGTATAGGTATTTTACTTGTCAGTGCAATTGTGTGAAGACCAATTTTAAGAGAACTGTATTGATACTAATTCTACTGTCTGTCGGCCATCAATTGTCCTTCTCTTTTGATAGTTTTAGAACTTTACAGAGGACTAGAGATAATCGATTTAGGAATGTTTTCAGAAGAAATCAATCTAACCGTGTCTGTGCACATGTACTAAGATCATATTTCCTTTCTCTCTAAATAATCGAAGATCGGCTGTTAGCAGTGTTATGAATCCTGATAAATTTTTTAAGATAATCGCTTGATTTCCTTACAAAACCTCTCATCTGTTTAATTAAGCGAAGTAGTGGGTTCGAATTTAAAGAGCTGAAACTGATGAAAATGAATCTCTTTTCAGCTAGGGCTCGACTGCTGTGTTTACATAGATAACGTTAGTTGTACAACTTTGTCTTACAACATGAGTTGCGAGATAGCTGCACGCAGGATAGATTGAAGATTTCTGCAGAACAGTTTTGAGTTTTTTCCTTTTTTACATCATACAGTTCATAATCTTGCTGATCGTTCAATTATCTTCACAGAACCATTTTGAATTACGTCATATGAGAAAAAAACGTTTTTAGCGTGTCAAATACTTACGCTGACGTCACCGGTTACATGTAATGTCTATCTGCCAACCAGAAGCGCATTGGTTCTTGAAACACAATCAGTATCTTTTGTTTCACTAGTTACAAATTAATTTGAGTAATAAAAAAATGTTTGTAAACAGTGATGTCTCCTACTGGTGAGAGGAATAGTGTTTATAATTTTGAAAAAAAAAAACAGGATAAAATTACCAGAAAGTGTACTAAGGCAGCAAGATTTAAAATGTAGGGATAAAAATATTACCAGGAGTGGGGTTTGAACCCACGCGGACAATACGTCCATTGGATCTTAAGTCCAACGCCTTAACCACTCGGCCATCCTGGTGGAGTATTCAACTCGTGTCATTACCACTATTTAATTGTGTTCTCGTGTCAGAGTTTCTAAAATCAAACAGTTGGCTCCATCCAAAAGAGACTTACTTGAACGCACTTAATAATTCGTCTACAATAACTCACTATTTTAAACCACAGCTGAATCGACTTGAAAAGTCCCAGTCTAATCTTATATGTTAAAACTTGTAAATTGTAGTACTTTGATTGTACCATAAAATGATTGTACCATAAAATGAAATAGAGTCGGGGGGTACTGCCATGTATGGGCTATATAGGTATGTGCCGCTGTGAAGGGTATGGTTTTCAAGCAGTTTTCTCTAGGATAGGGTATATAAATCAGAGCGTTTGGGTCTAGAATAGGATATCATTTTTCAGGAAACTGATCAGTTGGTTGAAGATTTTATCTAGACCAGGGAAACAGCTACTCTAGGATAGGAGCGATTTGGAGAGTTTACTCTAGTATAGGGTAGCAAAATTTAGCTGAAGTAGCTCTGGTATAGGTTAAGGGTTCCGTGGTCCCAGCGGCACATCCCCACCAAAAAATTCCGAAACTACCCCCCCCCCCCCCGGGAATAGAGTAGACTGGTGACTCGGTGGTTAAGGCGTGTTATCCGCGTTGGTTCAAACCCCGGCCCCACTCCTGGTAAGTTTTTTATCCTTATGTTTCACATCTTGTAGCGTTTGCGTATTTTCTCTCCTAAACAGTGGATAAACCGTGGGCAAGAAAATGAGTTTTTTAAACCTCATTCTCCTAGCAAAATGGCGGACGGCGCATGCGGAAATCAAACTGTCACGGATGAAGGGTCAGAACAAACATATCTTATCAGCAGTTCACAAGGTAAAAGCTAATTAGCTGACGATGTAGGTCATCTTGTTTAGTCAAAGCCAACATAAATCACTCTCATAGCGTTATCAAACTTAATCAAAGGCAGGCGCAAGATTTGTATTTGCGGGCTCGGTTTCTTTGAGCCGTGTAGAATTCTGTACAGGCAACTGAATTCGCCCAATATAAGGAGGGGTAAATCCATCTAAGGCAAAATGATTCTCACATCATATAAAAATACATCAACAAACACTATAACAATGGAAATTCGTGCAAGTTTCTGGGCAATAATATTAAAGTATAAGCGACTTCGACAGTCGCCTTGTCTCTAACTAAGAGTTAAGGAAAAGGGTTTTGTAGAAATAGGACCTCGAAGCTTCCCAAACGGAACATATTCCATCGAATTTAGACAAATAGAATTGGGTCCTGCAAAAAGCAGAAATAGTGTAATCAAAACAGCACCACTTACTTAAGCCTGTCCACAATGCTTAATTTAGCGGGCTCGTCTCCTGTTCACAGTAAATTGACAATCTTGAGAACCCGAAATATCGCTAGAGCTCGAACCCGGAGATCCACCACAGGGATTATAACGGATCAGCTCGATGGAAGGACGAATAAGACCCAACATTTACGACAAAAGACACGGCCTGTCTACAGATCGCAAGATTACAACAATTCTTATAGATAAAGATCGGAAAAATAATTCATCTCGCCTCAAGCGCTCAAAAATGCACGATACAGTTACAAAGATGCACCAGATGTCCAACATAGCAGGGGAAGTGGGTGGGGGAGGGCCTTTTAAAGACGAACAGCGTTCATTTTCTCTACCCCGTTTAAAACAAGTGCCTCATTTTTATGACACTGATTCATTTCTTTTCTCATACAGAATAAGTAATTTTCAGTTACCGACGAACGTGGAAGTAAATTTTCTTGCACAAATATTGTTGCTGCCACAAATGTAGTCCGCCCATTTCCAAAAATCGGGTAACAAATAGGGTAACTTCAGAGAACATAAGAATCCGCACCCCTCCCCTGTCCCCTCCATTCAAAGTTGGCGTGTTTGTTGTTTTCTAAAGGTAGCTCGAACAGCGGCGCAACATTGCATGGAGGGCATGGGGGAGGAAGAGCTATATTTTCGCCTTTGGAAGTAGTAAAACGTGAAAAAGCCCCTTTGAGGGCGAAGTGTCTCAAATCATTTTGCCGCCGATTGAAGGTTTATATTCTTTGAAAGGCATTCCGGTCCACAATATACCATTTTTAAGACGCTATATAGTGAAATTGTGTACCCTGTTTCAGACTTAACACCCTGAAAACCAAATACCCTCTCCAAATCAGCAGCACCTACCCGTTAAGGCCAAAAATGGTAGTGCTCCCCCACCCTCCTCGGACCAGATGCAACTTCGCCTTTGGCAAAGAACTCAGACACAACAAAAAATGCCATAGAAAACAGTTAAGATACCCGCAATTTATCTTATTGTCGGAAATACAACCAGCATTTTGGAACACTAGAGGTTCTTACTATCCTACAAGGTAGTTTCGTTAGTGTTTGTACAAGACTCTCTCATACTCATTTTCGTAGACAATGACACAACTAGCTCTTACAGTTTTCGATAAACAACGCAACTGGATAAACTGGAAACTGTGAGTTTTCATTTCCTACATTATTTCATTGTAATAAAAGACAGGTAAAAAGAATTTTTAAAAGTGCTATAAAAAAAGGAGCTATCTCACCAAAATAACAGTGGAGATCTTCAAATGACATCTTGAGAGTTGTCCATAGATAATTTTCATCTTTCCGCAAGTAAAAATTTTTCTTTGGCCAAATACTAAATCTTTAAAACAAACTTGGCCAATATCCAACCAATTTGACGTCACGCTGATAGGCTCCTATATGCTTGGTCAATATCGATATATCTCAACAAGACGTTTTAAAAACACATAAAGGAACCCGCGGGTATCCCTGTCAAATGAGCCACAGGGCTGTGCGCCACCTGTTTCATTTTTCGTACTTGTTTTGGGTTCAACCTAGGGAATCAAATTATAACTAATTCCTTTAGATATGCATGAAATGTTTGTTTAACGATACAGTCCCATAAAGAGCGACAAAATACCATTGTCGTTTGCACTTGTACTTTATGTTTATATTTTTTTAGCAGGCGCATATCAAACCGAATCACCATATTCAGCTAAGTGTGTCTGTTTAGGTCCTCAAAGGCACCTTACAATCATATTCTTGTAATATTATTCTATTATTTAGACAATAATACAATAATCGAATCTATATCATAGAACATAGACTTTGCACAAGAAAAGAAAGAAAATTCTATTAACATTTTAACAGACACTATAATTCTGTTTCTTAGCAATTTAGGAAATGGCTAAGGTCATGCTTCATTGGAACAGCTAAGCTGAACTGAACTAAGAAGCTGCTAGACTGGGAAGATCTGAATAAGGAAAGATTCAATAAACATGTATCAGATTCAAATTATAATAATATTGGCTTACATGACTCACTATACGCTGTGAACACCAACTCAGACAACTTGAACCATCTCGAACAGTAGGAAAACCTCCGACGTCGTCACTTCAGTAGGTGTCTGCCTCATCTATGTCTATTTCGAGATGTAGGTGTTAACTTGCTGAGCCGCCGTGGCTAGTTGAAAGGCAAAATGGGATACCACCTCGGTTTTGGGTCACCGTATTTTTTTTTATCTCAAGTACGTAACTGCTTCAAGGCAATGGCATGCTGTTATAAACGTATAGGTAACGAATAAGCTGTTCAGTGCAACCGAGCGTAAGTTTATATAAATGCGTTCGACGACGGAGAACACAATCTTATTCTTTTGACGTGGTTACCAAGCATGTTGAGGCATGTCAAGGCAATTTCTACGAGATCTTTTCACATTCCTTTCAATTGGGACATAATCAAAGTGCCGTTCTCATTGACATTGCGAATTTACGAAGATCACCCGAGGTCATTTGAACGATTAGTTCAAGTAGTGAATACAAAGCGTTTGAGACAACTAAAATTGATTGAACTGCATTTCATTCGCGTCACTGAGGCTTAGTTGAAAAGTTGTGTCCTGCTACACCACTCTAGCACAGCAGTGGGGGCTCAGACAGACGTCGTCGTGCTTATGCTGTATCGAACTAAATCCTTCGGATATGTGTTCTCGCTAGATTTGAATTCCGTCGCCACTTTTTTATTCAATTACCACTGACCTCATACTACGTCCACACGTATTATTTGTGTTGCTTCTTTTAGGAGCAAGGGAGGCACAGTTGCTTAGTGCGCGGCCTTCGGTGCATGCGCGAGATCCCGAGTTCGATCCCCGGTGACATCACATCCTTGTTTCAACTTCTCTCCTGTCTGTGTAGCTTTGACTAGCTTTAATACCCTTAAAACGGAGCATTGCAGAAAAGAGGGGAGTAAAATGAGCGTCGACCTCAAGTTTATCAGTTATTACTGTCACCTAAAATAGTGGTTGCCTTGCCTTTACCTTTTACCTTCTGTAGAACCTATAATAATTAACTTCTTAGTTTGCCAAACTGATTTCCATACCCACTTTTAAGTTTCGATAAATTTATTAAACTCTGTTATTGTAAGTTGCATGTTGGGCCAGCCGCCAGATTTCTAAAAACCTGCTGCGAGCGGGAACCTGGTACAGTCACTAATCACCTGAACGATTTGAACTGGCACTCACTAGAACTGAGACGCAAAATTGCACGACTTACCACCATGTACAAAATAGCGAACAATAAAACAAGGGTCAATATTCCGGAGTACACTGCACGCCCAACCCGTGTTAAACGCTCTTACCATAGCAGCAAGTTAATAAACATTGGTAGTGACAGCAACACCTGTAAGTACAACTTTTTTACGAGAACTCTAAAAGAATGGAACACTTTACCTTTCTTTTTATTAGATCAGCCTTCCATGGAGGCATTTAAATCTGCTGTTATTAATTATTTTAATCTCCCTCATTGATTTTATACATCATTTTATTGTATTATTTATTTAATATTATTATTATTATTATTATCATTATTATTATTATTATTATTTATAAGCCGTAAGAATAATTTAGATGACCAAGCCGAACTATCTTGTATCTTAAAACACTCAAAGCAGTCATGCACTGGATTATCTCATGAAGGCTATCTGATGCACTGATCACCGATTTGCATTATCCTTCGGGATTAATTTTTAGCGAGTAAAAAATCAATTTGACGCTTTATTTTATCAATTCCTTTTCTTTATTTATTAGTGCTTTCGCCCCACAGAAATGAAAGCTAATGCGTGTGCGACGCCTTATAATCTTCCGTTATAAAAAAAATTCACTGAACATACGCATCTCTGTAGTTCCTTACATTCCAGAAGAGAAGTAACTGGCAGCCTAACATAAATAAATCTGCGTAAAGACCCAGAGATGCTCTAGGGTCTTTTTAGTTTTCCCGAGAAAAAAAGCAACAACATTACTCCGGAGACTGTTGCATTAACGAATTCGATAAACTTAAGAAATAAAAGGATGCGGTTACTCTCTGTACTCTTTACGTTATGATGCTGTTATGAGGTCCAGCAGGCATACGACCAACATTGAAGACAGCAGAAACGCGAAGATGTAGGCAGCATCGAGTGTTCACCCTAACTTTGTTACCACAATTTGCAGCAATTAGTTGCTTCATGAAGGCGACGCGTTTTCCAAGTAAGTTCGTTTGAGATTGGTATGCAAAAGTTTTCATGTCAGCGATTGTGCACGCATCAATCGTAAAAGAAATACATCTTTAATACAGTGAAAACGAGGCTTTCTGAAGATTAAAAACTTTAACAGGTTTTCGGGTTAACGTAAAGTTCGGTTCCATGGTTCGTATGACTTACCTTTAGGAAAATTGAAACCTTTAGTCCTCAGTAAAGTCAATGAACGTAGGATGATGAAAAATGCAATTAGCTAACATGTTTCTCGTTTTTAATCTATAGTCGCATTTAAAGATAACTCGTAATTCTATTCCGGTTGCTTTTAGCAGTTTGTAAATAAAACACGAAAGGAAAAAATGTCCAATTATTTTCCCCAATATACTGCTTAAGGAAACCGTAAAATGACTAAGCATTAAAATTTATGATTTGGAGGTGACGCGATTGTATTTATTATCAGGGCATTTGTTCCGGTACTTCATTATAAAATTTTCTGACCAATCGGGAGGTTTTAAGAACGGATGTGATTACATTGTAGCTATAGCTAGCCATACTCTGGTAGACAGTCCAGTTTTTGACAGGAATGACTGAAATAAATGTGGTAATTAAGAATGATTTTAGTCAACTTCTTCATTACTGAAAGGGGACAATCAGACAATAAACTATTGTTGCTCCTGTAAATATCTTTCATAACCGCACGTTCCTCAGGAGGATGCCTAAAATTCGGCTCCCGATTAAATTCTACACCAGTTGCACAATAATTAGGAATACGCGCAACCCAGACCACCCACTATGTGAACACAGTACCCATGCGCAGATCTCTGACCTTGTCTAATGGCAGAGTGCAAACTAAGCACCAGAAAAAAATTTAAAATTTAAACTTTAAAAAATTAAAAATGGCTTCTCGAACCTACAACGAAAAGTATTGGATCAAAAATAAAATATTGTTTGCCAGATTACAAAACGTCAGTCAAATATTGTGCACCGACCTCTCTTGATAGATTAAGATTCAGTCAGTGTAAAACAAAGAATGCAGACTGTGGACTGTGGACAGTGGACTGCAGACTGCAGACCAGGGGTAAAACGCAGACTGAGTGCAAAATGCAAAATGAGGACTGCAGACTTTTTAAGCATTTGTGCTCCTTCTTCTCCAAAAAGCTAGCTACTATAAGTTACACAACTCGCTTCCTGGTCGAAGTACATGGCACGTTCGCCAGAAGTGTCTGTTACAGGACTTATCTTCCCGATTTTGAAGATATATGGAAAGTTAATGAAAGCTCGATAAATATCCGATCAATAGGTTTTTAAGGTTCTAGAACATTCTAAGTGTTTACCTTTAAGAATGCAACATGATGAATAACCAATTTACTAATAAGCTTTTCCGGCATTTAGAAAGATAAATATTAAAAGTGTGCTTTTTGGGACATCATGTCATGTCAGTACTTTGATTTGCAATACTGTCATAGAAAATTTCCTGCGAACATCTTTCTTTGTTGTTGGAATGATTTGCTCCCTTTTTAATCGCAATTATTCCTTCTGTACAGTATTTTGGGTCATCAGCTTTTATTTAAGTATAAACATCATAGTGTTGTACCAATTCACGGTCACGCATATCGAAAACTTTGAAGCGTGAGGTCTCTCGGAAAAAAGGTTCAAGATGGCGGTTACAATTTTCCAGAGAAGCAAGAAATGGATTTGTGAAAGCAGATGTCAAGTAAGTGATCGTTTACATGTACTTAAGGGATTTGTTTGCCCTTTAACCCTTCCGTGACCACAGTTTATGCTCGGTCTGCAGTCTGCAGTCCTCAGTCCTGAGTCTGCGTTTTACACTGACCTGATTTAAAAAAGATAACAAGTAATTGAACTACGAAGCGAAAGGTTTCTTTACCGTTCAGTTAAGATTAAGTCAAAATACGAGGGATTATCCACTGCACTTTCCTTACAATATTATCAAAGTACTGTCACTTACCTCGACTTCCAAACTCTGTGCCCACTTCCATCGGTGTTGCCGGGGACGAAGCAAAACTTGCTTCAGTTTTCGATACGTTAAACAAGCCCTTTAGTGGTTAATTGGGAGGCTGCAAATCAATTTCGAAGAAAGCGCATTTCCACTAACAGATGTAGCCTTTAACTGGGCCTGTGAGTTTCCTGTAGAACACGAAGAACTACTTGTTTTCATCGTTTCTTTCCCCCCAAAAACTTTCATGTTTACTTCAGCTGGGACAGCTGGGCAGCCTGGCAATGATTTGCACGTTTCCTCCGCTGTTTAAAAAACCTGTAGAGTCACAAAAGCGCCAAAGGGCGCAAATAAATTACAACCCTTTTATTTCATCTCAAAATCAGTCTACTTCGACTAAATATTCGAAACGAAAGTCCTGGAACTCTAGCTTAAAAACAATGAGCACCCTCTGTCCAAATAAAACAGAAATACGTTACTAAAAAATGAAATAGCTCTGGTACCGGGGGAGGGCGGGTCCGGGGGTACTCCCAGGATAATACCCTCCTTGATCTCCATAATACTTCAGATGATGATACTCAGCCTCATTCAATAATTTCTAAATATCAACTGTGTTATCTGGGTAACAGGGTCAGTTTATACAGAATAAAGAGATCACAGGAGTTCCAACCTCGTCCCCAGGGCGCTTTTGCAAAAGTTAAGGCTTCAGGAGTAATCATCGTTTATTGCGACAGATTAAACCCTTTGATTCTTTCTAATCAAAATGAGTTCAGACAGTACACGTGATGATTACGTATGTGTTAATTATCTTATTTTTTTCAACCAGCGGGGCTCTCCTTGTTAAGCCCAAAAGGGTGAATCAATCTATGCAAACAGACTTAGTTGTAGAGCAAAAATAAACTTTGAAACAGTACTGTTTCGTATGGTCCGAGACGCATTGTGTCTCCGTATTAAAAATGAAATATAAAGAATTCATTAAATACTACATAAAAAATGAGGAGTGACAATATCATTCTGATTAGAATGTATATAATATTCAAATCACATCCACTCTAAATGATCAGAAAACTATAACAATTTTTTTCCCGGCTGCCAACAGGTTTTATGCCGCGTCGCGCAAAAGGTGAGAAATTCAAGGGAACTCTGTCACAAAACGAAGGACCCTTTCAAAGCAAAAAGTTGTATACATAAAAGTGTTCAGCTGCTCTAATCCCAATGATAGTTAAAAATAGAAACAGTTTTGAGGTGGTCACGTAAAAACCAGTAATACACCGGAAGTACCAGGGGCACAACAAGAAGCGCTCTTCGCACGTACAAAGCAAGGGAAAGAATACTGCGGGTTGCTTCTGTGGGTGTACTTGGTTGACAACTTAACTCAGTGACTAATGGTGGTATCGTTCCATACAGTATTAGTTTTTTTATTGGGAATAAGCGCCACTGGAAAAAATCTCTCACTATTCATCAACTGCATATCATAGCAATATTGACCTCTTTGAACATTTATTCTCACGGAACACATCATGCCATTGTAAAATGATATAATATTTGATTCAGTAGCCTAATCTATAGTCATGCGACATGGTACATTCATCGCATACTGCTTAGATTCATTAATCAACTAGTTGTCTATTATCAATGCTGCGTTCTGATTGCTTGAGCTATTACTAGGCTATATGTTATAGCCCACTAGTAGCGAAAAGCGCCTGCTTTGAAAACCAAAACAATGGCAGCTGAATCGCGTTTTGCTTGCTAAAGTTGTTTTTTCACGATATTTTTGACCCATAGGCGTACGGGCAATTTTTTGCCAGGGGGGGCGGTAATCCATTTGCCCAAAAAATTCTTGCAAGTTGCCCAAATTTTTACAAACCAGTCGAAAGGAAACTAGGGCCATGCAACAAAATAGGCCGTACTGGCATATGAAAGTGGCTCGATACAGTTTTTCA